TTGCTTAACTGCTAAGAGCCTTACTTTCCTCATGTGAAATAAGGATCACCAAATCCACCTTGAAGGGTTACAGTGAGAATTATTTATTTATGTATTCACATATCAAAAGTGCCTAGGCAGAGGCTGCCTCAGAGGAGGCCCTTATTATTAGAAGATTAACTCTTAGGCCTGATGGTATACTTTTAAGGCATTACCATTTTAATATTTACTGCATTTTGAGTCCTGTAGTAAGCTGCCTCCAAAAACGAGAAGAGAAGATTTATAATCTGAATAGATTAGAGTTTCATAAAGCACAATGAAGCATGCAAGGGCCTCTATCAAAAACTATAAATAAGCCACCATGCATGTATTATGCAGTCAATTCTCAATTATTCATGTAAGGAAAGAAAGCAGATGGGGACAGTCCAAAAGAGCAAGTAATTCAAAAAAAGAATCTCTTAGATTTGTCTTGACATTTGCATTGAACTCAGTTGAATGTGATGTCCAGAGAAAGAGATTTTTAATGTATTCTCTGTAAGAAATCCTGACTTGGGACAATCAGCCTCTCACAAGCACTAAGCGGCCTCTCAATCCGGCTGTTTCAGAAAAGAAGAGTGTTCAAGCCAGACTTCACTCACTCCAACCTCCCCAGTAAAAGAGTTAGCCTCCTCCTTGGATGAAATCCACATGCATAGTAAGTACAAATCAAGTGAATATAGAAATACCAGTAGTGCAAGTTAATAAGAATTGCCATAGATAAAACTTACATATTTAGATAATGAAGATTTGGGTGTGTTACCCCTTAGCAATAGTTCACAATATCAGTTTAAGGATGATGTAAAACCTGGCAGAGTCTAAGAACTAAAGACAACGTCCATAGGAACACAGCCCCTAAAGCACTTGTACTGAGCATTGCATTGGTAATTGGAAACAAAGGAAGCACTTCATTCTGTCCTGTAGTGTTTATTTCTCTGCTCCCCTGGCCCCCAATCAGGACTGGTTTGAGGCTTGCCTTGATCAATAAAATGTGGCAGTATCAACTAAACCTTAAGAAGCCTTGCAGCTTCTGTGCCTTCAGATTCTTGCTTAGGCCACGTGGAAAAAGCTGACCTGAGTTTGATGATAGCGCATATGGAAAAGAGATAAGTTATCTCTACTTAGGCCATCCTAACTAACTAGTTGCAAGACTGCCTGGCAGTTGATTAAAGATGAATAAATTCAACAAAGACTAAAGTCTATTAGCTAAAACCAAACCAAACCTCCAGCCAACAGAATTATAAGGTAAGTAAGTGGTTGTTGTTTTAAGTCATTCTATTCTTGTGTGATTTGTTACACAGCAAAAGCTGACCGATACATCATCCCAAGAAGAGTTGTTTGGTAAAAGAGCTTCAATGTGCAATGTGGATGATTCTAAGTCTGAGGAGTGAATATCTGGGTGAAATACTATTGAGATCAAAGCAAAGATGTTCTGAAGGTGGGATGAGGAATACCAAGGCCTAGCCTCACCTCATGAGCCACCTTCTGTAGCAATTCTAGAGGGGATAGATTTCTATGATTTCCCTTCATTCATTAAATGGCTACAACGAACAGCTTTTGTGCTTTTACCAAGAGATAAAGTCCAGGTTCCTTAATCTCCAGCCAAGTGTTTTTTGCCTATTCAGTAATGCTTCCCATCTTGTAGAACTCACCCCAAAACAGACCTGACAGAGGCCTCCGAGTCTTTCACTTTGATACTAATGTCCTTGTTCCTTAGATTTAATGGCAATAACTTCTGGGAAATATCTGAAAGCCCAGAACTGCCCTGGGAATTGGTCTAAAAAGACTAAACTGCTTTCACGTTTACTTAAATCATCTGTGGATTCCACCCCCCACCCCCCCAAGAGAATGAAATTCAGTTGGACAGCAGCAGCTCTTCTCAGAGCCATTTGGTAAAGCAATTTCTTCCTGTCTCTTAAGTTACAATTAAAACGGGACCATAATAAGCCTCACAGCCTTTTAGAGGTGATAGACTTACATGGATGACAGCATGTTGTCTCTGCTCTTTAAAGGGGGGATCGCTCCACTTGCCTAGCGTGAGTGAAGCCCTGGGTTCAACCCCCAGGACTGAAGGAGGAAAAAAGGAAGGGGAGGGCAGGGCAGGGGAGGGCAGGGCTCTGGTCCATGGAGAAGCTGGACTGAATGTTCAGTAACAGGACTTGAGGGAAAACAAGACGAGTTGGTATCTGCAAATGAGAAGTTGGGAGGAAAGAGAGAAATTCACCTTGATTTTGAATCATCTTTGCTATGGGAAAGAAAGAATTGCGGGGGAAGGTTGAAATGCAGCAAATGCTCAAAAAGACCCGTTTAGGAAAGACATGGAGAACCCAGGAATGTGTAGGATGAGGTTGAATTCTTATAACAAAATTCAGTGCAGACGGAAGCTCTGAGTTGGCCATTTTCTCCTCTATATAACAAGAGAGAAAAGCAGTAAAGAAAGCGGTAAAATTCTTATACATTTAGTCTTGAAAAAAAAAAAAAAGGTGGCCTAACTCTTTCCCCTCATACAGGACAGTGTGGAGGGCTTTTCCCCTCCCTCTAAGCCTTACTCTTCACAGGCAAGAGACTAACAGAAACTGCCATTTCCAAGGGTACCTGCAGCCTCCCAGCCCACTCTGATCCTGGTCCTTCCTGAAGAGGAAGAGCTCTGGGCTGATGGTGCTCGTATAAAAGCAATCTGATAGAAAGGGAGGAACACGAAGGAGCTTTGCAGTCCATTTCAGGCTCTCCGAGACACAAGGACAATGAGCATTTGACCTTTTGGGTGGCCGCCTCCATGCTCATCTCTCATCTGAACACCAGGTCTCACCTGCTCTCTCTGGTAATGTATCATGAGAGCTCTCCGCTCAGGCAGGCAGAATAAAAGCAGCCATCTCCTCTTGACAGCGCTCTTCTCTACCTGGCCCTCTTCTCTCAGAGTTGCCTCTGCTGCTGTGCATCCCTCTGATGCACGAGTTTAATTTCTAGGGGGAAATGAAGAAAGTGCTGTTTTATAAAAATAGCCCACACATTCAGAATCTCAGGTCGGCACAAGACACAACACAGCCAGTCAATTCTGTCGGTTAGCTCAGCTCGATGGTTAGATCCCAGGAAAAAGGGAACCCCCAAACTGAAGGATGCTCCTCCTGACAGAATGCCCACCTCGGGAAGGTTAGTGGGAGGAGCTCAGGGCTGATCCAACCCAGCAGTGAGGGGTGAACCAGCCAGCGTGCCCAGGGAGAGCTGGCCAGAGGAGTCCTCTTAAACATTGTTAAAAAGGCGTCTCTTCTCTTCCCACGTTCAGGAATCACATCCTTCTTCACCCAGGGTAAAGTTGTAAGGCTTTCTCCCATTGAGCCCTGGTTTCCTTTTACTCATTACTTTCTAAAAATTTCTGCTGAGAGATGTTAGAAAGTGTCACTACAAAATCAAACCTTCAAGACAGCCAAGGAGGCGCTGATCCTGCTTGCAACGCTTTCCTGAACCCAACAGCAAAGGCCTATGGAAGCGGGTCTCCTTGGAGCAATGAAATTGAAGGAACTGCCTCGTGTGCCTCCCTCAGAGTGAGCCACACAGATGAGGCAACTGAACTGTGTGCCCAGGTGTTGGTGTGCATTTGAAATGATATTCTGCCAATCTTTAAAAAAAAAAAAAATTCCATTGGTTACTTGTCTTAAACTTCCCTCACTGTAATTCCATATTACAAAAATCAGCAGCAATTTTATTAGGCACCACCCCCCTATTCATTGCATATTGCCACAACTCCCCCCTAGTGGCTCATTATCCAGCACTTACTGTTGACCTGGGGCTGTACAAAGGCTTTCTGTACAGTGTTATGGTATGGAGAAAAGATGTCCCCCAGAACCTCCTGTGTTAATGCAGGAGGGGAAATGGTTCAATTGTCAGAACTGCAGCCTAATCTGTGGATTAATGATTGGAAGGGACTACTGCATGGGGTGATGACTGTAAATCCATGGGCATGACTGGAGGAAGGAGGTCTCTGCAGGGTGTGCCCTTGAGGATTAGATCTTGCTCCCCTGGCTCTCTCTCCCTCTCCCTCCTTCCCTCCCTCCCTCCCTCTCCTTCCCAGATGCCTTGAGCTGAGCAGCTTTGCTCCACCATGCCCTTCCACCATGATGTTCCACCTCTCCAGAGCAAGGTAGTCAGCTGCCCCAGGACTGAGGCTTCTGGAGCCATGAGCCAATATAAACTTTTCCTCCTCTAAGTTGTTCTTGCCAGTTATTTTAGTCACAGAGACAAAAAGCTGACTATACGTTATCACATACAGCACCTCATTTAATCTATAAATCTGCAGAGCATTATAACAGCACAAATCTATATAGTATCTATAATTATCTACTTTCTTATGGATCCTGAGTAATTTGCCTAAGGTCATAAGAAATAATAGAAGTCAGGACTCCAAAGCCCACGTGATTAAAAACTACGTTCTATCATCCCTTAATTCTTTCCCATGATGATGGAATCTATCATATTCCTGAAGGGTTGAGTCCCTTTCGTGCCTCTGTCTAGACTGACTATTGTCATCCCAGGTAATCATGGTAGGGATACCTGATAAAATGTAGAATTTCTTTTGGCTCAAGTCCCATAAGCTATTCTGACCACAAAGTACTAGAGGAAAAACTTTCAATGTGCCCTGTCTTCCTAATGCCCACCACCGTCCTATGAGACCACTGCCAAGAGGGGCGGGTCTGGATCACCCAGTGGCCAGAGGTGCCTGTCTGGAGTCAGGATTGGAAGAGCAACTCCATCATTTGTTACAACCTGGCTTTGAGCAGTCTCCTCTGCCTCCCTAATCTCAGTTTCCTCGCATGTAATAAAGGGAAAATTACATCAGCTCACCTCCCACAGGACAACTTGGATGAATGAAGGAAACAGCCGATGAAGTGCTTACTTGGTACCTATTACTAAGATAAAGGTTTACTAGATGGAACTCAGGAATGTGAGTATGGGTCACTGTTGTTACAAAGAGCAAATCAAACATGAAGAAAAGTCATTAATTGTCTTTGTTGGCTATTAAGTATTCTCATTCAGGTGATCCCAGGCCACTGAGGATTAGGAAGGAGGTGGAGTGGGTGAGTCTTTTTCTCCTCTGCTTTTTTCCCTTTGCGCTCTATCATCCTTTAACTCTGTCACCGATGATTTGATCTCCAGATTCCTGAAAGGTTCTGGCGTCCGCTGCTTACCTCCTCTGGACTGACCATTGTGATTCCAGCTCCACAGCTGAGCTCCTGGGTAGAGCTCATGCCATCCTTCAGCCTTACCTCAGACAGCACCTGCCCTCTTCTCTCCTGTGACACGAAATCTCACAGGTTAGCCCAAGTGATAGAAAAGACATGGGAAGAGAAGTGGACTTATTGATAAGGCCGTCAAGGTCAAAGAGTATTTCATAAAGTTTCCTGAATGTATGAAATTCTATATTAAAAGATCAATGAGATCTACTTCAGATTTATCATACTTCTAAAATTGTAAAGTTTGGGTAACAGCAGCATTATAGAGGACGTGGGGAAATAAAATATCCTTTACATTGCTGAAAAATGTTATAATTTGGGGGTTATAATTATCTTGCAGACAATCCTCCGTCATGGGATCCCGACCTCTTCCCCACCCCTCTTTGATAATCACTCTGTCAGCAAAATGTATCTCTAGTTCTATTCCACAAATGTAATTACCAGAAGTTTAGTATTTATTTGATTTTTTTATCTTTATTTTATTTTATACGATGCTGAGGATCAAACCCAGTGCCTCACGCATGCAAGGCGAGCACTCTACCTCTGAACCACAACCCCAGCCCCATATTTATTTGAATTTTAAGCATAAAAATCATTAGTCATTTTAGAAATAACTTCTAATTTCAGGATTCAAAATAGATAAGCTTTTTAATTTATTACCTACATTTTATAAAATTAGAACTATCATCTCTAAGAAACTCCATACATTTGGGCAGGTTCACAAATAACCCTCCCTTGTGCTCTTTGTTAAATATTAATGTTTTAGGTCAAAGGATAACCTCATACAGTCATAGCTTGCTGTACTTTTTAACAGCAAGATTTGTAACAGATTTGATGAGATGGTATTGTTAACAAAAGAACAGCCTCTTACAACCATCTCCCAGGCTCAACAGAACTGAACAGGAGAATTATCATTTAGTATAAAATAACAGGCACTATAGCACAGTGTTTATAAGAACAAACTCTAGAGTCAGACTGCCTGTGTCCAAATACTGACCACACCACTTACTAGCTGGGTGGACCTCAGGTAAGTTACTTCATTTCCCTGTTCCTCAGTTTCTCCAAATGGATGCATTCGTGGTACCTGCCTCCCAGGATCACTGTGAAGATGAATCAAGAGAGCCATAAAAAGCAGTTTGAGCAGTGGCTAGCTCTCAATAACTGGTAGCTATTTTTATCATCCTACCTTCCTCCTGCTGCTTTTCCCCTGAGGAAGGATTGCTCATGAAGCAGACTGACCTCAGACCAAACCAGTAGAAGTAAAAGAGTTCAATGTTTGCTTAAGAAACATTTCAGGAAATATATGGGTACTTATTGCCATTTGAATAATTTATTTTACCTATGCATGCCGTGGACTTTCATATACTGACAACTGCAGCCTAAAAAGGCAAAATTCTGGGACACTGTTCCAGCTTGCCAATTCTAGGGAAGTGTTCCAGGACTCTGCCTGTGGCTGGATTAGAAAGAGGACTGGTCAAACAGCTCAAGAAACAATATTCCAGCTCCGTTGCTAACTTCTCTATGACCAAAGCAAACCACTTGAACTCTGGGAGTCTCAGATGATTCATCCAGAACATGAGAATAACAACAAGCTACATACCGCACAATGTTGTTGCACAGATAAAAGAGATTGTGCACAAAAGCTTGGCACCTCTGAAAATGATATACAAATTTGTGTTAGTCATTATTCTTACTTTCAGGACCTTTGTTTACTTGAGTTGCCCTCTAAATTAATAAGAAAAAAAGAACCTGAGGCACAAGGTTCATTCAATTTGTAGTTTATTTCGAAATATTGTCCCTGCAAGCAGGAAGAAGCAAGAGTCAGGAGATATGGAAAAGAAAAAAAGGGAGGGGTTAATGATTTGGCCACCACTGTAAGCTACTTATTTCTTGATCCCTCAGGACCTCCCTGGACGCCTAGCAAGGTGCATCTCCAGAAACATCTACTGCAGACATACAAAGGAAGCATTTAATTTATCAGTGGTCCTACCAGTCATGGGCAGCACCTTGGGCATAGACTCATTTGCATTTGAGGGCTGGGAAAAAATCCCACAGGCAGCTGACATCATGTTAGAGAGGTCCATGGCAAGAAGTGATCAAGGGCAGCTCTCAACTGCCCCTAGGTGAAGCTAGCCTAGGCTGAGCAGAACTGCCTGCCACAGGGTGTCTGGAAATAAAGGGCCTGAGGTAATTAGAAGTGGTTAGTGCTTAAAGGATGCAGAATCCTGCTGAAAGACCATGAAAATGTCATTGTTCCTCTCTTGGGACAAAAAAGAAATGAAAGCACAAAGTCTACACAATTTGATGGAGAATGTTATGGTGTATATAGGAGGTTCCCCCAAAAGCTAATGTGCAAGACAATGCAGGAAAGTGTAGAAGTGAAATGGTTGGGTTATGAGAAACCTAATAAGTGCTTCCTATGATAGGGATTAACTGGGCAGTAACCGCAGGCTGCTGGGCTGTGGCTAGAGGACCTAAGTCACTGGGGCATGAATTTGGGGGTTATATTTTATCCCTGGTGAGTGGAGCTCTCTCTGCCTCCTGATTGCCATGTCCTGAGCTGCTTTCCTCCACCACATCCTTCCACCATGATGCTCTGCCTCACCTTGGGCCCAGAGCAAGGGCGTCAGCCATCGATGGACTGAGACCTCTGAAACCATGAGCACCAAATAAACTCTATGTTGTTTGGTCACAGCAATGAAAAAGCTGACTAAAAACAGAAACGGCTCCAAATTACTTTGGTTTGCAGTCAGATGGACCCGTTTTGCCTCACCTTGTAGTCTTCCTCAAGCCGTGTTCTTCCCTCTGCCTTACTCTAGCGCTACCAGATGTGGCTTTCATGTGAAAACCACATTTTAAAGATGTCCTCAGCATTGCTCAGGCTGGAATTGTCTTTTTTAATGAGGTGAAAAAATATAACTGGAAGGCTTGATGGCTGCATAGGTGCAATTTTTCATCTTTCCAGTGGTGGCCAAGATGTGATTCCACCACTTTGAACTATCATTGTGATACCAACAGTCTTAATCTGTAATCAGAGAAGCAATGCACAGATCCTTTGCATTTGGATGACTTTATTAGATACATCTGATAAAAAGAAATCTCCATTGATAGTATTCTACAAAATTAAGAAGTGTCCAATGTGTTTGGTGTCAAACACACAAGAATTGCACTTCTTGCTGTGGCATATGTAATTGAGTGGTCTTAAGGGCTCTGAGCCTACAATTTCTCATCTGTATAATGAATGTATAGAAACCTATGCCATGGAGTCAGAGGGAAGATTTGGAATTAGAAATGATGTGCATTCCCACCTAAAACCATCCCTGAAACACAGGAGCCATTCAATAAGTAGCAGTATTTATCATTATCATTATTGCCAACATTATCATTATTAACCTATAAATTTCTTTTGCTTCCTACGTAAAAAATGCAAGCTAATGTTTCCAGCTCAAAATTTAAGTGCAGCGGCAAGTCAGAGACAAAAGTCACACTCACAAAGCAAAGAGACTTTCTACTTCAGTAATATGTGTGCCAAGTGCAGAAATTCAGTTCATTCAAGAAACATTTATTAGACACTTACTGTGTGCCAGGCACCATAGTAGATTCTATAGACTATAGTTGTGGCTAAGGCTCACAATTCAAGAAGAAGACTGATACAAGAGAAAAAAATAGGATTTCCAGGATTCAAGAAAACTAATATCTATATCAAGTACAAAGTATTGTGTAAAGGAGTTTTGATTTTATATGCAGCAAGGAGCCATTTAAGAGCACAGGCCCAGGCCAAAGAGAAATTGCTGAGCATTATCACTCCAGTTGATGAAGCACTCTCCAGCACACAACCCAGGCCTGATGCTACATGCGTTCTACCATCCAGCTACATTTTAACAAATGAAGAAATCTTTACATTTCAGGTGAAAACAAGGTCTCTTATGGGGAGATAATGACCATTTCACATCATGGGGAACAATCATGCCAAAGACTACTGACAGACTCACGGTCTGTGCTCACCAATTTCCATAGCCCACGTTAGGTGCAAGTGTACTCCAAGTGTGGTTCCCCAGGCCAGGCTGTGTCTGCATCATCTGGGAACTTATTAAAGATGCAGAACTCAGCCTTCAATCCAGATCTACTGAATAGAAAGCTTTGGAGTTAGGGTCAAACAACGTGCTTTCACAAGGTTTCCAACACATGCTGACGTTTGGGTGCCACTAATGTGCAAGATAAACCCCAAGTTTAGCCAGATGTCCAAACCCAGTGGTCACACATTTGCAACTTGCCCTGTACCAACTTTTGCCATCTCACTGTTCTGGGTTATTTTCATTCACATGTGTTTTATCCCCTGAATTATCTGAACTTCCTAGAGATGCAGCAGAGTGGGTCCTGGAGCCAAATTCACACCCTTTAATTCTTAAACAGTCTTTGTGCTAAATTCTGATCTATTATCTTTCCTTCAATAAACCAGGTTGAATAATAGAATGCAAACCTCAAAATCTCTCACATGATTATCTATTCCATTTGTGTGTGGCCCTTTTCGCTTAGTATTATGATGGAAAAGTGTTACAAAATCAAGCAAACCAGGATTTGTATGTTTTATCTACTGCTAGCTAAAAAGCTTAGGAAAGTCATTTTACTTTAATCTTGATTTGTCATTATAGTTTAGGGATAATAATACCTACTTAGGAGGATTGTTGCAAGGATTAAATATACAACATGCTTAATGCTAGAAACCCCATTTATCCTCATTATCCTCCATGATCACCATCATCATCACCACCACCATCATCATCATCAATCATCTAGATCAGGAGTCTACAAACATCAGCCTGTCTTCTTTTTAAAAAAATATTTTTCTAGTTGTTGACAGACAGTTATTTTGTTTATTTATATTCAGTGCTGAGAATTGAACCCAGTTCCTCACACATGCCAGGCAAGTGAGTTACCGCTGAGCCCCAGCCCCAGCCCCAGCCCTAGCCTGTCTTCTCTTTTTTGTGCATAAAGATTTTCTGGAATACAGAAGTGTCCATTTGTTCATGGCTGATTTTGCAGTACAAAGAAGAGTTGAAGAGTTCCAACAGAGACCATATGACAAGTAAATTGTAGTTGAAAATGTTTGCTATTTGGCTCTATACAGAAGTTTTCCAACCCCTGACACAGCCATTGTCAGCAATGGACCTGTCTGTACCCATTTCCCACTGTCTCCTAATTTCAACCAGGGGCTACACAGGCTTAATCGCAGAGTACGACCCTAACCAAGGGTTGGCAAATAGGTTTCATCACATGCCAGACATCATGGATTGGAGGTGATTTCCTGAGCACTGTGTAAAGAAAGGTTTTATTCTATATCCATAGGAATTTATGCCATAGTCAAAATGACAGCTGTTATTCACCTGACAGTGCAAAGCACTTTACGCTCACTGTTTTGTGAAAACTTCTTATCAGTCCTAAAGGATAGGTGCTGTAATTCCCATTATTGTACAATTCAAGGTGCTGATGCTTAGAAAGGTGTAGAAACCTTCATAGTCACACAGCTAAGAAGCCACGTGGAGAGCCAAGATTTCAACCTAGGTCACTTGACTTTCGCCTTTAACAACAGTCTTACGTCTGTTAAAGAGGATACTTGTTTTTTTTTTACTAACATTTGAACTCCTTTTCTGCATTTGAGGAGACCCACACTGTGTGAGGAAGAGTAGGTCTATCCTCCAACTTCAGAAACTAATCGTTCAAGGTTCAGCCAATTGGATCCTCCTATCTGGGACTTTGAGGTCAGAGTAAGAGGCACAATGAAGCAGGAAATCTGAGGTTCCTTCCACCCAGGACCCCACAGTGACAGTGCCAGGGAAGGCACTCAGGGTCTGGTAGTGGTGGTGCCACAGGGAGCGACCAGGTGCTCAGTGGCTACAGCAACACGTCCTCACCAGACTGTCCCGGATACCAGCAGGGCTCTGGTTCCAACTGCACAGCGTCCCTGGCTCCTCATCTGCTTTCCAGAAGTTCCTGACCCAAGCTTCTCACCAGTGTTTCTGAGCCACAATCATGTTCTCCTCAAGTTAGCTGGGGCGGTGGTTCCGTTGGTTTTCCTCCTCTTCTGTGCTACGGAGCCCCCTCCCTGGCCACTGGTTAACTGGAGTGGAAGGAGAATCTGTGGTGAGGATAGACGACTTATAGAA